CACACATACCACACACACAGACACACACACAGACACACACACAGACACACACACAGGCACGCATATAACGTGGGTAATGATAATTTAAAAAGAGATCATGAGTTTGGAAAGGAGCAGAGGTCACAGGAGGAGTTGGGAGGGCTAGAGAAAGAAGTAGAAATGATATAAATATAGTAGGCAGGTAGGGAATTCTCTGCAAAGTACAAAAAAATACATAAAATTAACGAAGAGCTCTTTAACTATCCTGTATCTTATAGAACCATAGAATCCTGAATCCATGAAGCTAAATGACTTTTCTTTGCCAGTACGGGAGTGCCTGGTGTTTGTGTGCGTGTGTGCGTGTGCGTGTGCGTGTGCGTGTGCGTGTGTGTGTGTGTGTGTGTCTTGCCAGATCCACTGGCTACAGTTCAAAAATGTTTGGGGAAAATCCAAGGACTTTGTGAAACACGTTTGGAAACCACTGGAATCAGATTCTCCTGGCAATACTAGTGTCTCTCTGGTGCCTAAGCCAGGCACTGTCTTTGCTATAATCCAGGGTTCTGAACTCTGTCTGCTCATTGGGGTTGCCTGAAAGCTTTGAAGGAAGTGCTAGTAATTCGGGTTCACCACCAGAATGTTGGCATAATTGCCCCAGGTAGATCCCAGGTATGTTGTTTTTAACAAGGTTTCCTGTGTGATTTTAGCATACAGCTAAAGTTGGACACTTTTAATCTAAGCAGACAGTTTGTGGTTCCTTGTCTCCTCACTGGGCTCTGGCTCAAGTTTAAGCACTTGCTTCTAGCCCCAGAAATGAAAAGTTAGGGTTCCTGAGAGCTATGATGATTAGCCTGGATAAGAATCCCAGGATGGGAGGTCATGAACACCTGCATGCTCTCCCTTCTGGGACGGTAATACTTTCTTCCTCCTATAAAGCTCACCCCCCGCCACCCCGCACACACCTCTTCTCCCTAAATCAGAAACAGTGTTAGGGTTTCTCGCCATGTAAGTCGCTGAGTTTGTGGAACAAAACAGGAATGTTCGATGTTGCCAAATTGCATATCCTAACAGGCCTGTGATGGTTTGCTATGCATACTAACCCCTAGAAAGTTCTGTGGATGTCATAATAACCACAGGCGAGCCTGTGTTAGAACATGTGATCAGTGGGGCTTAAATTTGTGCATCAACGTTATCTGGAGATCCTGTTAGAAGACCCCTTCCTTCGTCCCACCTGGAGAGACAGTGAGTTAGTGGGTCTGCAATGGGCCAAGCAATATGGATTCGTAACTGTTGCCTTAAGTGCTTCTGAGACAGTGACCCAACCCCACGTCTGGAGAAGCACCAAGTGCCAAGTTCAGAGATCATGATTCTCCAGTGACTTCCTATCTCCCTGTGCTGTAAGTCAGCACATCTCAGAGACAGTAAATTCATACTATAGGTGTCATCGGAAACAGCAAGGACAAAGGTTACTCAAAGAGGAATCTGTCTCTATGAATGCCGCTTTAATTTTTTGATCCACCACATTTTTCTTTGGGTGAAAAAAGAAAAGGAAAAGATTAGCTTTTGATAATTGTAAGATAAGGCTTAGCCACTCATTTTCTTTCCATTTTTAAAGAATTTCAAAGTAATGTATTTAACAAAAAGAAATAAACTTTTTTTTAAAAAAGGAAAGTTGGCTTGTACAGAGTTTAAATGTGTATAATTTATATAAAAGATTTGGGGGAGGGAACAATCATTTTTCTTCCTTTTGGCAGTGCGCTTTGTCAACCTCTGTATGGGAAGAGTAAGAGCTCAGTTCTCAGTGAAGGAGATATAGGGGCTTTTGTATATATGTCATGCTTTGACGGACAGAGGAGGTATCAGTTCTCCATGAATGAGCTCCAGGGAGTGAAGGGTTTAAAGTTTCATCCCCACTACTCCAGATCCTTTACCATCCTTCCCTTTGGCCATCCTCACCCTTGATGGTTGAACCCACCTTGAAAGGTAAACTACCTGTTAAATGGTCGGAGAAGCGGGCCAGGCTGTGGTCCAGTGGAACACTATGCATGACCTTCATCAGGTCCCTGCCTACAAGAATACAGGCCCAGGCATTCCTGCAGACCCTCCCCCATAGTGGAGCAAACTGGAAGCAAGCAACAACATTTAAGAAAGAACTAGCAATACCAATCTCCTTAAAGGGGTGGGGCAGGGTTATCTTGCCAGAAACTTAGGCCGTAAGTTTGAGGGGAGGGGGTGTTTTATTTTTGTCTGGTCATCACTGAATGTATCTCAGGCCTCCAGTTTCACTGTGAGCCATTATGAAAGAAAACACGAATGTTGTGTTCTGTGGACCAATGTATTTTGCCATTGTAATAGGAACCTCAGCTAATAGTTTTTTTTTTTTTAATTTTGTGCTTATTTTTATTTGAGCGTATGAATTGCTGTATGCCACCAGTGCCCATGAAGGTCAGAAGGAGGTGTCAGCTCCCCTGCAGCTAGAGTTACAGGCAGTTTGTAAGCCACCATATCCAACAAGCACTGTTAGCCATTGAGCCATTCTTCCGGTCCCTCTTCTCTTTCTTTGTTAATTCAAAATATATTCGTAAACAGTTTTGTGTACTTGGCTTTGTAGTATGCCCTAGGAATTATATGATACCTAAAAAGAAGGGAAATCTGTGGGTTTGCTTATTTGTCTTTCTGCTTGTTTGCTTGCTTGCTTTTACCCCAAAATGTTTACTGCCTTCAAGAAAGAGACAGAGGTGCGTGTGGATTAAATACCACAGGGCATTGTAAGGACTGTGGTAGATGTGTTTTATGGAAGTCAGCGGAACATGCAGAAGAGAGAGTGAAGGAAATTGGGTGTAATTGTGTTTGAGGTGGTAACCGTGTTTGCGAGCAATATGTTGCAGCGCCTCGCACATTAATCTCTTCATTGACAAAATGAAATATCCATAATAAAATGCACATTCTTCCATTCATTCAGTAAATGTTTATTGAGGGCCTGCTGTGTGCGGAGGCAATGTGATCGGCACCTTGTTGATATGTAATAAGCTAGAAAGGGAAGTGGGCATGTAATTCAATTATCATACAAATCAAACATACAAAAATTAGCGACAGCTAGTGCAACAAAGGTGACAAGCGCGTTACTAAAAAGCTTGAAGTCGGGGTATTTCTCTAAGGGTGAGAGACGTTGCCGAGACCATGCTACAGGAAGAAAGTGTCCATTGTGGACTCTGTTCAGGCTAAGGATCTGATGTGAGAGCTGAGAACACTTGGCGAGCGTCATGGACCAAGTTTCCAGCCCTCAACTTCATCACAAAGCCCATTCATGTGTGGACTCTAATTCCAGAGCTGGAGGCATGGGCAAGCTAGGAGTCTAGAGAAGACAGGCTCCCCCCAAATCCTGTGTGCACAGATTGAAAGCACTGTTATTTATACCTTACTTTCTTTCACTCTTAGAAAGGCCACAGGATATGTTACACAGCATCCTAAAAGAGTAGAAAATATAGCATCCCTGGTCCACCCTCCAGCCTGGGTTATAGTGGGAGGCCACAAAAGAAATGGTGAAGTATCAAACCCCTGATTCATAGGAGATGAGTAAGTGATATTTAATATTCTATCCCCCATCTTAAATTTGTGTATTTTTATAGAAACTGGGGTATATCTTATGTCCACAGCAATAATCCCTAGTAGTCAGCATCCAGTGACCCAGTTAACTCTTTATACATTGACGGTAATGCTGCCAATACTACAAACTGTAAGATAGCAAAAACATACTTTTTTCCTGGTTGTGTATCAGCTTGACGTGGGGAGATGATCCCACTTGGAAAACTAGACAGTGTGGCCACATAAACATAAAAAGGATTTCATGAAGTCACAGTGGCAAGGTGTTCCTCCAGAGATTCCTGGGGTTACTAGTGGCAAGAGCCACTGAGTTAGGGCACTGACTGTTACCTACAACACTCCGGCCACCTGAGCCTTGTCTTGAGGGCATCATCAGGAATGGTTTCAACTGGAACATTCAGATCTGTAGTATCGATGACAATAGAAAGTATATAGGTAAGAGCAAAGGTGATCAATTGATCATAAACAATAGATAATAAAGGAGACTGATATATAGATATCAGACTGATAGACACTGCAGAATAAAACTGCTACATTTTCTACGTCAATCACCGTACTTTTCTTAGAGTAAATGAGACGTTTGCTTCAATTTACTGATCTTCTCTATTCTGTAACAAATCAGAAACTGATCTATCCTGTAAGTTTACCATTTGCGTAGGGGAAATACAATTGCCAGGCTATAGGAAAGGTGGTTTGGAAGGATCACCGTGTGTTCCTGGAGACTTTTCTTAAAGAGCTGTAACTGTTTAATACGGGCTCGGAACTCCTGCTGCATGTTAGCCCTCAAACCCAGGGGCATGCCCATCGACAAAGATGGGGATCCTTCCTGTGTGTTTCTTCTCTTACGTCTTCTGCATGCTCTTGACGTGGGCTGCTGTCATTTGCTGAACTCAGTGGAGCTTGCATTCAAAGATATCAAGCCCTGTGTTGTGCAGTCCACACTAAAGCAAGCAGGGAAGCAGGAGAGGGGAACACTATACTTCTAAGGGGCAGCGGGGACAAGTAAGAGACAGCCTGAATCAGGCAAAGAAGCACAGAGGGAGAGGTCAGGCTCCTGCCGACTCTGCTGCCTTGAGCAGGATTCTCCAGTCCCTAAGTGTCCTCCTCATCAGATTCTAGCCCAGAGGCCTTGGGTGGACTCTGTCCACTTTCCATATAGTTCTCAGACTTTTTGAAACCAAGTTCTTTAGAGGGGAAAGACAGCACCAAAAGCATCCTTGTTAATGTCCAAATCCAGTGTCGTGTATCTTTAGTATCATAATTAAGAAAATCTCTCTCTCACTCAGTTTAAAGTTTGGGAAAACATTAGCATAATCACTTATCAAATTTTAAAATAATTAAGCTTTTAGACAGTAAACTTTAAGGAGTTCCAACACACTCATTTTTGTTTCTTTCTTCCTCTCCACTCTCTCCACCTTCAGGCTTACGAGAGGCCCCAGAAACACTCAGCGCTTCACTATGACCCAGGCCTCTCACAGGGCTTCACCAGTGACACCTTAAAACCAAAGCACCAGCAAAAAAGCAGCAGCCAGAACCACATGGACTGGTCCACCAACTCTGACAGTGGACCCGCCACTCAGAATTGCTTCATCAGTCCAGAGTCTGGCAGAGACACTGCAAGCACCAGCAAGATCCCAGCTCTTGAACCCGTGGCTTCCTTTGCAAAGGCCCAGAGTAAGAAAGGCAATACAGGGAACGCATGGAGTCAGTTGTCCAGCAGCAGCAAAGATCTTCTCTTGGGGAATGTGGTACCATCTCCCAGCAGCCACAGCTCCCCAGCGCCCACTAGCAACTCTGCTGAGTGCAATGGACTCCAGCCATTGGGAGAGCAAGATGGAGGAGGAACAAAGGAGCTCCCAGAACCACCCACTCTAGGTAGCAAGAAAAAGTCCAATAAAAAAGATGTGATCAGTCAAACCATAACAAACTCAGATTTGGATTGGGTCAAAAGTGCCCAGAAAGCATTTGAAAATGCAGAAGGGAAAAGAGAGGGTTACTCTGCAGATAATGCTCAAGAGGCATCCCCGAGCCGGCAGAGTATCAGCACGGTCAGTAATCCTGAAAATGATTCCAGTCATGTCCGGATTACTATCCCCATAAAGACACCTTCTCTGGATCCAACCAACCATAAGAGGAAAAAGAGGCAGTCCATTAAGGCTGTGGTGGAAAAAATCATCCCCGAGAAAGCACTGGCTTCCGGGATTGCTATGAGCAGTGAAGTCGTTAGCAGGATCCTTTCCAACTCGGAGGGAAGCAAGAAAGAGCCTCGCGTCCCCAAGTTAGGAAAGATGATTGAGAATGAGTCCCCCTCGACTGGCCTGGAAACAGGTGGCAATACTGAGAAAACTGGCCCTGGAGGTGTGTCTAAGCAGAGGAAAACACCCATGGTCATGACGTCACCAACACGCACAGAGCACTCTCAGTCCGGAAAGCTGCCTGAGATCCAGCACCCCAAGTTTGCCGCAAAGAGGCGGTGTAGCAAAGCAAAACCCCCGGCTATGCTGCGAGAGGCAGTCTTAGCTACCGCCGACAAACTGGTAGTGGAGCCCCCGTCTGCTTACCCCATTACCCCTTCCAGCCCTCTCTATACCAACACGGATAGTCTGACAGTCATCACACCAGTGAAAAAGAAGCGGGGACGACCAAAGAAGCAGCCTCTGCTCACGGTGGAGACCATCCATGAAGGGACTTCCACTAGCCCGGTTAGTCCTATCAGCAGAGAGTTTCCTGGCACCAAGAAACGAAAGAGGCGGCGCAATTTGGCTAAGCTGGCCCAGTTAGTGCCGGGAGAGGACAAACCTATGAGTGAGATGAAATTTCACAAAAAGGTTGGAAAGCTTGGTGTGTTGGATAAGAAGACCATCAAAACGATCAATAAGATGAAGACCCTCAAGAGGAAAAACATTTTAAATCAGATCTTGTCCTGTTCCAGCAGCGTGGCCCTAAAGGCCAAAGCTCCCCCGGAGACCAGTCCCGGGGCAGCATCAATTGAAAGCAAATTGGGCAAACAGATTAATGTCAGCAAGAGAGGGACCATCTACATTGGCAAGAAGAGGGGCAGGAAACCAAGAACAGAGCTGCCTCCCCCATCCGAAGAACCCAAAACAGCCATCAAGCACCCTAGGCCTGTTTCTAGCCAGCCGGATGTCCCAGCCGTGCCTTCCAACTTTCAGTCACTCGTGGCTTCTTCACCAGCAGCTATGCACCCCCTTTCAACCCAGTTAGGGGGGTCCAATGGCAACCTGAGCCCCGCCAGCACTGAAACCAATTTTTCAGAATTGAAAACTATGCCAAACCTCCAGCCCATCAGTGCCCTTCCAACCAAAACCCAGAAGGGAATCCATAGCGGAACCTGGAAGCTGTCTCCACCCAGGCTCATGGCCAACTCTCCGTCACACCTTTGCGAGATTAGCTCGCTGAAGGAGATCACCTTGTCCCCCGTGAGTGAGTCCCACAGCGAGGAGACCATCCCCAGCGACAGTGGCATCGGGACGGACAACAACAGCACCTCTGACCAAGCGGAGAAGAGTTCCGAGTCCCGACGGAGGTACTCTTTCGACTTCTGTGCCCTGGACAACCCGGAGGCCATTCCATCCGACACCAGCACAAAGAACCGGCACGGCCACCGGCAGAAGCATCTCATTGTGGACACGTTTCTGGCCCACGAGAGCCTCAAGAAGCCAAAGCACAAGAGGAAAAGGAAAAGCCTGCAGAACCGCGATGATCTCCAGTTTCTGGCTGAGCTGGAAGAGCTCATCACTAAATTTCAAGTGTTCAGGATTTCCCACCGGGGCTACACTTTTTACCATGAGAACCCATACCCCAGCATCTTTAGGATCAACTTTGATCACTACTACCCGGTGCCATATATCCAGTATGACCCATTGCTCTATCTTCGTAGGACTTCAGATTTGAAGTCAAAGAAGAAGCGTGGTAGGCCTGCAAAAACCAATGACACCATGACAAAGGTGCCTTTTTTACAGGGGTTCAGCTACCCTATTCCCAGTGGAAGTTACTATGCACCCTATGGAATGCCTTACACATCAATGCCTATGATGAACCTCGGTTACTACGGTCAGTATCCAGCTCCTCTGTACCTTTCGCACACACTTGGAGCAGCGTCCCCATTCATGAGGCCCACAGTGCCACCACCTCAGTTCCACACAGGTTCCCATGTCAAGATGTCCGGGGCCACAAAACACAAAGCCAAGCACGGAGTACACTTGCAGGGAACGGTTGGCATAGGCCTCGGTGACATCCAGCCATCCCTGAACCCTCCCAAGGTGGGCGGGGCCGCCCTGACTGGCAGTCGGCTCCACAAGAGGAAACACAAACACAAACATAAGCACAAGGAAGACCGCATCCTAGGGGCCCACGACAATCTGAGTGGTCTCTTTGCAGGCAAAGCGACAGGCTTCTCCAGCCACCTCCTGAGTGAGCGGCTGAGCAGCGCAGAGAAGGAGCTCCCGCTGGTGAGCGAGAAGACCAAGCATAAGGAGAGACAGAAGCACCAGCATGGTGACGCCGGCCACAAGGTTTCAAAGAGCAGCTTTGAAGTGGACACCCTGTCCACCCTGTCACTTTCTGATGCCCAGCATTGGACACAGGCTAAGGACAAAGGGGACTTGAGCGGCGAGCCCGTGGACTCGTGTACTAAAAGGTACTCCGGTGGGGACGGCAACGGCTCGAGATCGGAGGGTCTGGATGTGTTCAGCGATATGAATCCTTCCGGGGACAAGTGGGACAGCGACGTGTGTGGGAGCAAGAGGAGGAGCTTCGAAGGCTTTGGGACATACAGGGAAAAGGACATCCAAGCCTTCAAGATGAGCCGCAAGGAGAGAAGTTCTTATGAGTCCTCCATGTCTCCAGGTAAGACCACAGTTTTCTCTAGACTTGGGCTGCCCAGTTGCTTAAGTCCTGGCCTTTGCAATGTGAATACCAGTCACGTCGGGCACTTAGCATTCACGGTTCTGCAAATAGGTCACCATGCATGTTTGAATGTGCTTTGTATGTCATCTACTGTTTACAGGGTGTTGACTTTCTGCACCCCCAAAGCTAATGTTGACAGACAGCCTTAGTGACTCTCTAAGTGACAGACATAAGTGCTACCATTGTCCTTTGGTTCTTGCTGTTTGGTTTGGTTCAGTTTTTTGAGACAGGGTTTTCTCTGTGTAGCCCTTGCTGTCCTGGAACTCACTCTAGTCCAGGCTGGCCTAGAACACAGAGATCCTTCTGCCTTTGCCACCCAAGTGCTGGGAGTAAAGCCATGTGCCACGATTGCCTAGTTTATAATTGTACTTTTTAGTAAAGATCCTGTTCTTAAATTATTAGGTCTTGATTACAAGATACAGTTTGCTAGTTGAGGCTCTAAAACCCACTAAACTATCAACAAAATCTTAAGAATACCAAGGCTGAAAGAGTGGCATTGAGTGTATGTGCCATGCCATCGGTAGAAGTCACCTATCTCCAGCGATAAATCTACCACTAAGTGATTGGAAGCTAATGATCAGAGAATCCTGAGGTCTTAACCAATCAGGAAGCCCCAGTCCTAAACCATATTATAGATTCTTCACCAAGAGCTTTGGTCAAGCTGCCACAGTCAGGATCCCAAAGTGAAGCCTAGACTACATTCACAATCTTGCTTCCATGTACTAAATGGAAGAGGCCAGGAGAAAGGTACTTTGTCCCTTCTTTACAAACAGAGCCATATCCCTGTGATTTTTAGCACACCCACTAAATTGGGATTTTTACTCACTGATGTCTAAAAGAATATGTTCATTGCTAACAGAAAAATCTCACTCTCTGTCAGTTACTGGCAGAATCTCTTTGCTAACCTCCTGGTCCACACAAATCCTTTCCTGCCATGAAGTTTTACAATTTCGCAAACACATCCATGCTTCCCTGTTTGTATAGTACATAAATGTTAAGACTCTGAAGAGTATATAATTACTTTGAAAATAGTAGAAATGCCTTTAATGAGAAATGAAAGAGATTAAAAGAGTATCTTGCGGGCAATACTCTCTTGTCCCCAGATGGTGTGAAACGCTCTGGCCAAACCCTGGTTCTAAAGAACTCACTGCACACGTGAAGATGTGAATATAATATTTTCTCCCTGTATATGGTGCAGGATTCTCACTTGCCCTCTGTCTTCCTGGGGAGTCCACAGTTAGTGACTGTGAAGACAGTCTATTCAAAAAGAATGAAATATTGTTTCTAGACCAACAAATCTCAGTTAGAAGTGACTAATGATTGAATCAGGTTGCTGTTTGTGAGTTATTGTAGTAGCAGATTGTCTTCTTCATGAAAGGAGAAAGTACATATTTATGTCGCCTGGATTTGGTGACAATGGTGAAGGTTCCAATGGTCCAGATATCCTGGATGCCCAGAGCAACTCTGTTTTGCCCTTTCTCATTCAGAGACTTCTTTGAAGGTACCTGGTTTCTTAAAGAGCCTAGATGGAGCCCATGTGGCATGGGGTACAGTATTAACCACGGACATGGAAAATGTTGGTATCTTCCAGCAGTATAGCATTGATCTACTCATTCGTCCCTCAAAGAAGAGGACCAGAATCCTCATGTATAATGTGATTTGAGTCCCTGAAGTTGTTTTCTATACATTCCTTCATAGAATGTTGTATGCAGTCCTAGCATATAGATACACATTAAGTATTGTTTATCCAAAATGCTTGAGACCGGAATATTTTAAATTTCAGGGCATTTTTATTTTCAAATATTTGCATTTAAATAATGCTTTATCTTAGGGATAAGAATGAGGTCTAAACACAAACTTCATTTTTATTTCATATGTAGCATATACACATAGCCTGACAATAATTTTATATAACCTTTTAAGAATGTTTTTTATCGGAAATTGCATTTATAGTATGGGATTTTTCTAATTGTGTCATATTGGTATTTAAAATGATTTGGATTTTGGAGTATTTTAGATTCTGATTTTTCACATAAGTCATGCTTATGCTGTGCTATTATTTCTCATTGAGAAATATAAACATAGGACTCAGAGAGAACAGTGTATGACCTGTCCACGGTCACACAGCTGTTCGTTCTGATGCTAAGCAAACCTGGCTTTTGTCTACGGCAGTGAAGTGCCTTCATAGCTCCTGTACTGACTAGGGGCAAGTCCAGAACACAAGATCTGTTTCCAAGCTGAGTGTCCCCATGTGTCACTATTGCCTTCAGAATCTCATCTGTCCCCCAGTGGCATTCCCTTTGCTAAGGTGTTGCCTTACAATCACGTGACAATTGCGGAAAAAAGCAATGAAGGGAAAAATGAATTGTTGCTTCACATAGTCTCCGACTTGTGAAGGGTCCCTCATTGCTTCCCTTCTAAACATGGCGTGGTTTTCTGAGGATTTTTGCCACCGCTTTCTGTCCATCTCTGGCTGGTTATCTGACTAATGCTCCCCCTACCCCAACTCATTAATGAATCAAAATCACTGATGGCTTCTATGCCTAAGTCAATTATATTTGATGTCTCTGCTCATCTTGTTGAATAGCCCTTCCCGTTCACCCCTTGACCTACCCGTGCCTGTGTCCCAAATGCCCCCTCTATTTCTGCAGCCCAAAGCATCAGGCAAAAATGTCCTTGGCTATACTCAGAAAACTGTCTAGAGGGCATCTTCCTTAATGTGAAATTTTCCAAAAACGTGTGTAGTCCCATGAAAAGCTATGAAGCAGGTAAGGTGAAGGGGAGGGAAGAAAGCTGTGAAGAGCTTCTGGAAACCGTATTCAAGTGGAGGTTTGGGTTGAACTGGACAACACCGACACTCAAGATGAAAAACACCTGCACTTTCCACAGCTTCCCCCACTTTCTCATTTGGTACTCTATGCTGGATTCATTTCCTCCCCCTCTGAATGTCCCATTTCACATGGGCAATTCTTCTCTAAAATAGACACAGCCCCTCTACACTTGTTGTTCTATAGCCTACTGAGGACCAGATTTAGGAGCGTAGTGGGAAGAGGGTTTTTATGCCCTCCCTGAGATCAGAGCTCTTGAGAGGCACCATATAAATGTAAGTCGTTACCATTATGGAGAAAGGAATTAGAGACCCCATTTAGCAAAGGCAGTGGTTGCACACTCCATTTCATCCTTCCTGCTTGGCAAATCCTTCATTCCTCATACCCTGGCTCAGCCAAGGATTGCATTGTCTCACGAGCTCCCTCACAACACACTCAGCTTATTATGCAAGTCCTTCCTTCCCTGTTTTACTTTTTTTCTCTCCCTCCACACCTTCAATCTCTGAAGGCGGTGACTCTCTGGGTCCGTTTTCTAGATTTAGCCATCTGCTAAATCGTCATTCTTTAAAATACTTGATTTGTGTCAAAGATGCACAAATCTTTGGAAGTGGAAAGAGACAGTCTCGGATTGGGATTTATCAGCAGTGTTTGAGTCTCTCTGCCACAAGGCAGCACTGTCCCCCGGGTGTGCATAGGCTTCCAGAAAAGCAAACCTGTCCACAGTCGGCAACACATAGTCAGAATGCTGCCCCATGCCTTCCAAGCCGAGTCCCTGTAGGCGGTGGGAAAAGTCTCCTGTGTGAGTCAAGATGCTTCCTCTTCAGATTGCGTAGAATCCATCTTTGCATATTTTGACCTAAAATTCTGCCACATATGAGACATCTCAAGTGAACCTGCTGTCTAGGCTCCTCTCAAATAATGAAAAAGCAGTAACAGTTTATTTACATATGGTACCTCTTAGTTCAATGCCATCATTTGACAAGGAAGCCAACCTTCTTCATCCCCAAATGTCATGGTGAATGGAGGCTGAGAGTTAATCCTGAGTTCACCTCCCAGATATCAGGATCCTGTCACATAGGTAACCCGATTTACTGGAACCTGGCCCTCCCCACTTCTGGTGGCTTCTGTCTTGCTCTTGGCCAGCTCCTCTTCGGCAAGGCGTTTGGGAAGGCAGAATCTGCTGTCACTCATCACCAAGACGGGGGTACCCATGCCAGAGCAGCACAAAAAACCCCTCCAATCAGGTATCCAGAACAAGGAGCTGGCCATGTGAACGGGATGTAGGGAAAGCCTTAGAAAAGAAGCCTGCGAGGACTGCGGAAGAGGCTGGGAAGGGAGAAGGACACTCGTGAGAGGAAGAAGCTCAGACCATAAGAAAGGACAGTGAAGTATAATTTGCATTACCTTAATCCAAACTGAACGGCATGTCCTCCTGCAGGACGAGATGGAAGAGGAACTAAAGTAACAGCTGTACTGTAGCTTGGATGGGATTGCCAATACCTATCCAGTGTCATCCCTTACTCTACCTCCTCACTGGGGCTCCTTCTGTTTGTTCCCTCAGCTTCTCACATGGGCCTGTAATAATAAAGGTTCTGACTAAGCTTCAGCCTAGGATTCTAAAAGTCTCAAGTCTATGACGGTGAAATTCGAATATGACCACAAACTCAGCAACAGGCAATTTGGAAGAAAAAAATGCTAAAATATTAGTCAAAACATTGTCTCTCTTCAATGAAGTTGCAATAAAGTCCATGAATTAATCCACAAGCCTCACTTCAGACATTTGGCCTCACCTCTTTAGAAAGGCTAAGCTCCTCCCACCCAGATCCCACTGACAAATGAACTGGCTCCTGATGCAGGCTGAAGCCACAGCAGGCACACTAATGTGACCAATTATTTGGGGACAGGCAGAGAATGTTTAGACTCTGAATTTTAAAATCTTAATGGAGATGAAACACTTCGTTTGGCTGTTGTGTATACAGACTTAAAAAGATCAAGTGTCTTGTCCAGTGGTGTGTATCTGTTTGGTCCGCAGGCCATCTCAGGGGACACATGTTTCAGAGGAGAAGCAACCCTGATAAGACTCATTTTATTTCATTTCCCTGTCTAAACCCT